ATTATTGAAATGGCATTGAGTTTTTTTTATTTACCTGACCTCAAGCATTTCTTGTCCTCTAAAGTCTAAAGAGACTATAAAACAATATCTCTTGGCTCTAATGACCTAAACGAACAAATGTACTTAAACATGCACAGATTGGTATGCTGCTAATGTGGAAAACACTGAAAAGGTCAATTTAACAGGTGTATTTCCATTACACTTATTTATTGATAGTTTTGTTTCTTTGTTTTTATGACTTCCTCGACCAGACTTTCCCATTTCAAAACATCTGAGAAAACCAACAGTTGGATAACAGCACGGATTATTAGCACCCAATAAAATCCATCCCTGCAAACAAAGAAAAACCAGAAAAAACGGCTTAGTTACCGGTAAACAAACCCTCCTGACATCTAAAGGCAGGTTTGAAGTTGTGTTTTGGCATCCATACGCTGGACCGAGCTGCTGCATATTTCATAATAAGACTTTGATGACATCTTCAGAGATCGGCTAATTTTGGACGCACACAGTCTTAGAACAAAAAAGCTTGTCACACCTTCCTTTGGCCCGCCATCTGTGCGAACGGTGTTGTTTAAAAACGTTTTGCCGTGCAAGTGGGAGGCGGGTACGTTGGCACGGAGAGCAAACCTTAGAAGAACTAAAAAGGAGAATAGGTTTCACAAATGTTGAGAAAATAGTAGAGATAAATGTCACGTAGTATGCCTTTTATGGTTGTCAAAATGCTATCTGTGATTAATGTTTGAACAACAAGTGACTACTATACTAGGTTCTGTTTACAAGGAGTTCTATGGGACATTTTTCTGGGTAGCCCTTGTGAATGTAGTCTGCAGTACCGCGGGTGCCCCCTGTGCCCATTGGTGGGTAATACCCTATCCAGATATTATTATAGATCCATAATTAGACCACAATGCTGTCTTCATCTTAGTTTCTGTATGAAATAGCTGATCTAAAGATGTCACGGCTACAAATACATGCAGGAGACTGAGAGGGAGCAATTATTATGGATTGTGGCGCCACCTGCATGTGAAAGCCAGACCCCGTCAGACCTCTGAAGCTAAGCAGGGCAGGACCTGGCTATCACTGTGATGGGAGACCACTTGGAACACCAGGTGCCACAGTGGGACGACATCAGCTGTAAAGTGCCAAGCTTGCGTTGTGTCCTTAGGCTAGACACTTTGCCCACATTGCCTAAAATGAGTGTGGTATGGGCGTGAATGGTTGGTGGTGGTCCTGATGGCACATACTGATTGCCTTACTTCTATCAGTGTGCCCCAGGGCAGCTGTGGCTACAGTAGCAGTTTATCACCACAGTGTATGGAGTGAATGAATAATGACATGTGAAGCATCTTTGAGTGTCCAAAACGCGCCATATAAAACCCATGCATTATTATCATATATCTATTTTCTGTGGTATGAAAATGAGGTACCCCAGCTTTAACCCTCTCTCTATTCTCATAGTAATCCAGTTTGGTTACAAACCATTTCCGTTGTACTATTTTCTTCTAATGGACCATCCTCGGCAAACCAAGCCTATATAATAGCCCCATTTAAAAATCTTTCTTTTCCATTCACGTCTCAGCAAAGTTCTTGAGACAAATGCGTGGCCCTAGTTTACTTAACCATCTCCGTCTCTCTCATCAGCTGTGTTGCAAGAACGTCTCCTCCAGAACTGCTCCTATTGTGAATAATACGCCCCTCGAGATCTGTTCTTCTTTCTTTTTGTGTTTTTTTTAGAAAGTGATTTGTTCGGACGCGCGCTACAATCCCTAATCACCTCATTACCTTGTAGTAGAATGAGAACGACTCCCAGATAGAAGACGTTTAAATGTTAAATGTGGTCTTAAATCAGAGGGAGCAGGCGCGAGCTTGCAGTGCCCTGTGGGGCCCATCCACACTGGTGTAATTAAGTAACGCATCGTGATGGGTAAAGAGAGAAGTCTGTTTGCTGTCTATGTGAATAACTGTTTATTTACTATGGCTGGGAATTAATTGGCAATGTGGTGTTTGGGGGACGGAAAATTACCATTGCTAATGTGCAGATAACATGGAAATGTCACAAATATTTTCAGAATTGTATTTCTCTTCAAAATCTTTAAGGATAAATGTTATGCATTATGTTTGGCCAATAACGAAACTGTTTACTTTGACGTTTCATGTTTGAGAATATGAGTTAATATCTTAAAAGTTTTCCCAAATTTGAGAAAAGAACCGTCTTCTCCACTTTTTGAACAAAACTCTCTGGTCTTATTTGACGAGCACGTGTCACCAGAAAGATTGACAATTGGGAGGACAGTCTTGATGATCCACCTGGAACTACAAAATCCTCCTTTATACGTTTAAGTAGAACATATATTATGAAACAAGTATGAAAACAATCTTTCCAAATCTTAATCTCGCTAACACCAGAGGGAATAGTTTAACTTATTGAGTAATTGCAACAACAACAACATTTTTTGCGATACTTATGTTTTAAAAGTCAGAAAACTACCCTGGGTATGATGTCATAGTGGTACAATAAGATCATACTATTACATGTCTGAGACAGGAGCTTTTAGACAGAAGGGGAGGAGTTTAGGCTGCAATATTCTTCCCTGTACTTCCCTGGAGTTTGCAGGGCTCACGCAGTACTCCGCAGTACTCAGATACGCCATGTGAATGACCTTTCGCTGTTCAACTCGCCGCCTTTGATCTCCAGGCTGCGGAGAACAGCTGAAGTACAGCCGCTCTCTGCACTTGTCCACATTGATAAAGTGATGTGAGGAGCAGAGCATTTTCCTTAAGCACAGGAGCGTCCTGCACTCGCGCTCAGCTTTATTTAATGAGGACGTTTATTGTTTATTTGACAAACGTGGTTTTCCAACATGATCAACCTGAGAGCTCTTCTCTTTCTCCCTCACCTCTTGAAGACATTTAGTGTGGGCTTCGGTCTTTGCACATTCCCCCCACAATGTTTTTCGAAGACCAATCACAGCCTTTGTTTTTGGACAATATACTATCATTTTTAACAATGATTATAATAATACAACATTACAGTGCCTTTTATGAAATCTACTCTGCTTAATTAATTCTGAATTAGATAATTAAAAAAATAAGTTTTTTTTGTATCAATACTTCTCTTAAATGGTTTTTATTCTAGGTTTTATATCTGATTTTCAAGAATTTTGACATTACTATTCGATACCTCGTTTATACCCTTCTCTCTGTCGACATTTTCATTAACAATTTTGAAATTGACATTTAGAGGTGACATTTTAGGAAACCTCTCTTTGGCTTGCCTTCTTTTCTTACTCCAAGTATTTTGTGCTTGTTTGAAATAACCTTGTATTGTATTGTAAAGTAGTGTGGTTACAAACTCTGCTTTTATTCAAACTTACAAATGTTCTACACTCTAGGGTCCTTTTCAAAACAATCGTTAATTACTGTCGAGTAACAGGGTTTCTTGTAAAGTACTTTTCCAATTCCCAGTGTGAAATGTACTATATCTTAAATCTTGTTTTATGTCTTGATGTATGCTGTTGTATTGTAGCACTTTGGGATTTTATTCCATATGTAAAGGGCATTTCACATAAAATCAATTATGATGATATACGTACAATCTTTTCTTCCTCTTCTTCAATCCAAGGCAGGGGTGTCAAACATTTTAGTAAGATTTAGTTGACTTGTCCAGGGGCTGAAACACAAACCGGAAAACTGTTGACTGGATTCGGCCTGTTTTAAACTTTAATATTAGCTGGGACAGAGCTGAAGTTGGCTGAATGGGAAATGTTTATGGCCTCATCAGCTACATTAGCACCATATACAGAATCTTTTGACACAATCAAAAACAAACAAATGTCTATTCACATTAAGTCAACAGTTTAATTCTAGACGTCCCAGGCTTTACAAGGAAGTACAACATGTCTATATTGGCGAAGCGGAAGTTGGCTAGATGACACTGTGATCTTGTCTTTCGCATTCTACGGCGTGAGTCCTGGAACTAAAGCCTGTCCGTCTGTGGGAGTGGATCCCTCCCTCAATCTGGGCCTCCCTGAAGTTTATAATTTTCTCCCACTGGGTTATTAGTAGCCTGCCCTTAGCCATCCGTACACTCCGCTCAATCATCATTTCACTGCATGTAACGTCTGGGTCTGGTCCCTGTGTTTGCGATTACAATCGGTTGAATTTCGACCGACCAATCAGCGAGTGCGGAAGGCAGGTGTTGTAGTTAGTTGTGGGTGACGTCAAGAGTTTGCGTCGAATGGGCAGGTTGTAGTTTGGCAATGGCGAAAAATGCGATGGTAAAGTAATCCGGTCTGGTTCTATCAAGAAATTGAAGCCGGAGCAAGGGTAATGTTTAGCAAATGTAATCGCTGGAAAACAATGTGGCGCCACTCCCCACGGGCTTCATTAGCGGCAAAGGAGATGGCTAGGCTAAATGCTAAATGTTAACAACAGACTCGGGCACACTACATACGTCACAGTAAACTCGGATCCAATTGTTTCAATCTGCAAAAGGAGTTAACCCCTCCCACCTGTAAACGGAGCTCAATGGAGCACCTCCAGACCTTAGTACGAAATGTAATTTGTACTATGGTGTGGTACGACCAGGCTATGTTATTAGAGTTTTTCCTTATTGATGCAGGAGGTTGTAAGGACAGTGGGGATGGTCCAGGACACCCGACCCTTATGGGCCAATGCTTCTATGTGTTTTGCCTTTCCAATTTTTTTATTCACTGATATTTGTAGGCCAGTCCACAGCTTCTAAAGTCCTCCGAGATAACTACAATTGTGTTTTAAAAAGTACATTGAATTGTATTGTTCATGATCTCAAAGACTACTCTAGGTTAGCAAGGCAGAGGGCCACATGAAATCACACTGAAGACCGCGTAATTTCTTAGTTTGGACATGCCTGATCCGAGACGAACACCCACACGCTTATACTAGAAAGTGTTTCCTCAGTAAGCCGGGCCTCTCCTCGCTGTCGTCTTCAGAGTTCAGCGTGTTCCTGTGTTTGTCTGCAGGCGCTCCGACCGGCCCGCACCTCGCCGCAGACGCCTCACACTGGCAGTTGCACGCGCACTACTACCCTCCGCTGCTGCGCTCAGCCGCCGTCCGGAAGTTCATGGTGGGATACGAGATGCTGGCCCTGGAGCAGCGAGACCTCACCCCAGAACAGGTGAAGTTCCAGCTGTGTGCTCGCTGTGATTTATGTCTCAAAAATATATGTGTGCGCGGGCGGTGCAGTTTTACACAGTGTGGATCGCGGCACCTGCGGATGTTGTGTGCAGAAAGTCGATACTGAGATATTAATAAAAATGAGAGATGGTGGAAAAGCTGCTCTGCTTCTGTTCAGAGAGCGCTCATTACACTATTGTATTTTGTGATATTTTTAGTTATTTATTCTCTTTTACTATAAGATTGACACATTTCAGGATTAGCATGCAATGTTCCAAGGGCGTAGGTTTGCGTTGGGACATGTCCACACCGATATTTTGGGTGGACTAAAATAGAACCAAGAGAAGCCATTCTGTTGATGAGAAACATTGCGTATATTGATTAATTGTTACTTTATTCTACAGGCTGCGGAAAAGCTCAGAAACCTACCAGACGTGCACTACAAAACTATAACAACCCCAGAGGAAACATCAAAGGAAGCCACAAGTTAAAAAAGACATCATATTATGAGCTCATTTCTATGATCTTCAAATGGCACAGATACAAAGGGTCTCTTGAAATGCTAATACACAACCATAAACATACAGATTTAGAATAGATTTTTTGACTGAAAGATCACACACAAGAAAAAGATAACTGTGAAGTGAAAGCAACATTTTACATGATATGATTTCTTCGTTTAAACAAAATCTAAAACTGGATTGGCTTTTGCACAAGTATTCATACTCCGGTTAAATACAGTCCTCAGCTTCAGAAGCATTTACGTCCAATAATGTCCAGTCTTTTGCCTAATCCACCTTCTAATCAACTCTGACACGCTTCCCTTTCTCTGCTGAAGAAAAGCAGCCCCATAACATGATGCTGCCACCCCCATTTTTGTCAATGGAGATGGTGCAAACTTCGATTCACAGTTGTGTGTTACTTTGTTGTGGTATTTCAGTAAAACATGTAAAATATTTATGATTGTGATTGTAGCAAGTCAAATCGTGCAGAAGTTAAAGCGGTATCTTTCACAAAGCACTGTATTTGATCAATTCTACTTTTAAAACTTTATATTCTTAATGCATCTTCTTCCTTTTCTGGTAAATTCCCCAAAAAGCAATCATGGATGTTGGGAATTGTCTCTTTTCAATATTAAACAATGAGATGTCTGATGTAAATGAAAGCCTTTGTTCCCTCCATAGAGAATTCCGCTTCACTTAGCCAAATGTACAAGTGCTCTCTGATGCCAACATGCCTTAAGCCCATTCAAAACCTGACCCAATCCATTTCTATATTGTGTATTCAAAGCAGTAGATCTCTGCGTTTTCATCCGAGCGGACATTGGACGGAAGGCTGGGAAAAAAACATTATGCAGGCAGGAATACAAGTGGCTTTATTAGAATGTAAGTTCCCTGGTTAACAGTAGGTGGCAGTGTTGATTACAAGATTGTGACTGCAAATTACAAAATTAAACTGTGACCTAAAAGGATGTGTGTTTGGTGCAATTAAAATCAGGGATCAGGTGAAATTGTTGGTCTAATCAATGTAACACAGGTTGATGATTGCTTGTAAAATGTTGTTTTTTAATAAAGTATTTTCAAAAATAAAGTTTTAGTTTGTTTAATAATACGGAGACGACTGAAGGGAGGCAGTTTCAGAGGACATTAGTAACCAATACCGCTTTCTTTCACTCTACTAACACACATTTATATCAAGCCCCTCTGTGCAAAGTGTCAGTTAAAAAAATCCCAATTGCAATTTGCACAAAAAAATGACAATACATATTAAAACATGCACCATTGCAGAAAGGTTTTTTTTTTTTAAATTCTCCACAGTCCTGAGCTGGCCCCCAACAGCAAACACAAACATAATATTTAAGCTGCGTATATAGCAGCCCAAATCCAAACAGTTTTGCAAACCGTGTTATCGACAAGTCTGGTTAACTAAAGTTTGGACACCCCTGCACTTACAGAAGAAAAGCTACTAATCTGTGCCATCGGCCTCTTTGACTATCACCGGACTCTACTACTAGGGTAGGCATTGTGGGTGAAGTGTCTTGCCTAACAACACAATGATACATTACAGAGGTCTCCCATCACACTAAGGCTTTGCTTCGCTTCTGAGATCTAGAACTTTCTGCAGGTGGAAATGCACCTGCATGGTTCAAGGGATATGCAAATTTATTAACATACTGTACCCTGGGATATTCTCAGATTTTTTTTCTGTCTTTATTTGATAGGGACAGAACAAGAAGCATTGTTACAGGAACCGATGCGGTGTTCATAGGTTTGCAGACCTGGTCCCTAATGTGGAATATTAAAACCAACGAAACAAACAGGACAACAACAAACCGAACAGAAGGAGTCAAGTTCGTGAAGGTGTTTTATAGATCATAATTTTCAGTGTGTTAAAATCCTTACTTTACGTTTAATTACTATGCTATTCTAATACAGTCCAATATTGGGTGGCACGGTGGCTCAGTAGTCCTGGCTTCGATTCCACCTACAGGCCTTTCTGTGTGGAGTTTTGCATGTTCTCCCTGTGTCCGCATAAGTTTCCTCTAGGTGCTTCAGTCTCTCCTACCACTAAAAACCTGTTCAATAGGTATGAACGTAATGAGTGAGTGAATGAATGGTCTGATCTCTCAACATTGTAAAGTGCTGTGGGTGACCTTGGTCTGTAAAATGCGCTATATAGATAAACATTACTTACTATTTCTCTGCAAAAAGTCACATTCTGGAACTTGAATCAACTCTATCAAACTAGCACCAATCCATTATAGTTTGCGTCTTAACTGAATTTCGACACAGTGTGCACAGTGGCTCTCTTCACTATTTATACTTTTGTTATCGCGGCTCCATCTCAAAGGCCTCATCCATGTTTATGTGGATTCCTGGTCCGTCAGAACTTCTGTGGTTTTGCGACAGTGGGCTGCTGGAGGTCTTACATGTCGCTGACACAGAGTACGTCTCTTTTATGTAGCGGGACGCAACTCATTTCACTCATGTCAATATTTATCTGGGAAAATTCTCTCCTCAGCCCCTTTCCCAGGCTGCCTCTGTGTCGCTAAGATGCATACAGCGTTGAGATAAAAAATATGTGCACTTCACTCTTTGCCTTTGTATCTTCTCAGCTTTACAGAAAAAAATGCATTACAGCCTTTTTGGCATTTCAAAACGATAATAAGACTATTTACTCATTTCAGGGGTTCAAATGTTAAATAATATCTTTGGTAGAAAAAATATAGTGATACCAGTTTCAAGGGTAAATAAATAAACAATGCCGTCTGCCTGCAACTCCCTATGCTACCATCAGAGGGAGGGGGTAGAGTTTCGTGTATTTATTTTATTTAACAAATTTGCAACCACTGCCTGTGATTGCAAAGAATGTTAATTTAACTTTAGAATTTTCCCAAAACTATTTATGGGTTTTACTTTTGTTACCAGAAAACAGTTCTGAGCATGATGTCATAGTGGTATAACGACATCATAGCAGACTGATGAGTATGTACTATACTCTCTTGGCTTTGTGTGTCCTCTACTTCTTCTTGGCTTTAAAAATGAGCAGCGATCTGGCAGCTTGTCCAAACACTCACCGCGGGTTATTTTCAAGTCTGTTCGGGTACAGAATTTTCCCCCATTACTCAAACCCACGCCAAATGCTGTGCTATTAGACGGGCCGAGTGCAGGCCCAAGCTGTGCGGTTGAAAATATAAGGAGACTGCAGGCGGATTATAGAGACAACTGTGGAGCCGATAAACACCGTATCAAACGTCTGGCGCTGTGGCGTGATGAGAGTTGCCATGGCAACGCGGGGAAAGTGCATTAACAAGTTCATTTTCTATAATAGCAAAATAAACAGGAGGCGTGGAAGTCTGAGTGATCAGAGTTGAACTGTGAACTTAAATTGCAATGTGAAAGAATAAATGACAGAAATTTAATGTCTTAGTTACAGCTTTTCTTTTGTACAATAGCGTGATGTTGGAATGTTATGATGTCGCATTATTTTCTCATGAAGACGTCAAGAAGTGGTGACAACATTCAAAAACATATACTGCACATGATGTCCGTCAGTCGAAAGAACATACGCAGAATCTAATCACTATCATATAATATTCTCCATTTTTTTCATTATTTTTTATAGTTGTATTCTATAGTTGCACCTGTCCTACAACTGAAATATAACTGGAATATGAACGAAACCCATTGTTTTAAATGAGTCCAGTTGATTTTTATTTATGCATGCCTTCTTGTTTTTATTCTGATTTAACTTGTTTGCACCGAGAGCCAGAGCAATTTCCTAGTTTGCGACTTCCTGTTACTCACATGGCAATAAAAAGGATTCCGATTCTGGGTAATGAATCTCTATCGATCTCAAGATTCATTGTTATCTTACCGAAACCTAGGAAACAAGATCATTTTTTTGGTGAAATATCATTTGTTAAAGAACTTTTTAAAGAAACGTATTCGTAAAAAACATTATATTTCAATGCACAGATCAACAACAGTGTAGATGAAGCACTCAAAAACAAGATAAATTCAATAATATTGCCTTTTCTTGTTTAAATGAATGCCATCAGGAACAGTTTTTTTATATTCACTGAATGTTTCTTGACCTATGTTTGTGTGTTTGCTTATACTTTAAAGTAACAAGAGGAAACAAAAACATGGAAGAATTTGAACAACACAATGTCTTTTTGAGCCTAAATTGCAAGATACGATCAAATACCACAATGTTCACTTTTGATTCTTACTGCTTCTGAACACACATTCTCGGCACATGTATTTAGTTTACCCCAACGCTGATAATTAGAGACAGAATCTATGCTACAGTATATTCCCTCCTCAGAAGTTCACATAACACATCTAAGGCAGTCTTTTATGTCCCTTCACTTTGCACTGAAGCCCAGAATATCCACATCCATCTCGGTGGGAGCGCCCTGCCAGTCACAGAGCTCCAATTTGCACCTTTTGGAGACACTGACCTTTTCGCTCTGCTGGATCCATGACAGAAGCTTGACACTAGTTTAAAGGTTTCAATGAGGAGAGAAAGGCGTGTTCTCCCCAGCCCCCTTCACAGACCAGGGATAGTCCACACACGCAGCCTGGGCTGAGATCTCGGCAGACTCCAATTAGAGAGCTTATATCTCCGGGTAATGGGGCGGTTATGAAATGAGCCGAGCACGCCGAGCAGGTATTTTGAGAAGTTTTGAAGAGCGGGTTTTTAAATGTGGATGTACAGTGGTCCCTCTCTATTCATTCAATTCAATTCAGTTCAATGTATTCTTGTATAGCCCTAAATCACAATGGTAGACTGAGGTCCTTTGAGGAGTAATCGAAGCAACGTTTTAAGAGAACCTTTGTTTCTTTGGCTGTCAGACTGTACAACAAACCTGTCTGAGTTAAGCCTGGTTCACAAGAGACAATTTTAAAATTGTCGGCCGATTTTTCTCCGTGTTAGACCCCACACGGGGAGATTAAAAATCCTGCGTCTAACCACTTTGGTCGTG